TACGGTATATAAGCTACTTCTCTGCACATATGCTGTATTCTATTCAAGATTGATGGACTGACCACATCGACTCAAGGTTGATGGACTGATTACCTCATTCTCCTCCTGTTCTTCACGATTCTCCTTTGTATGGACTAATGAAGCCACTATGTGGCGAAACGTTTCCTCAATAAAGATACCCAAGAGTTGCACATGTGTCTAATTTATCAACGTGTCGGTTCTCTGAACCATTCATCTACAAAAGCGATGGTTGACACACTGGCTAAAGTGACCAGAAGGGCCCATGTGGGCAAGGCAAAGCTACTGATTGTGGGTGACTTCAGTCACAAGAAACTTGACTGGAAGAACCTGGAGCCACATGAAGGCCCAGAAATGCGGAGGGCTAAGATGAGGGAGGCGGCACTGGAAAACCTGATGCATCAGCACGTAAGGGGCACTACCAGAGAGAAAGAAGAGAACGAACCAGCAAGACTGGACCTGGTATTTTCCCTGAGTAGTGCTGATATTGAGGACATCACATGAAAAGCCCCTCGGGGCTAGTGATCACGTGGTTCTGAGTTTCGAATAAATAGTAGAGATACAAGTGGAGAGGAAAGCAGGAATGGCAAGACGAATGAAGCCAAACTGCAAGAGAAACAACTACACAGGCACGAGGAATTTCCTGCACAAGGTTCAGTGGGACAAAGAACTGGCAGGAAAATTAGTAAATGGAATATGTGACAACAATATGCAAAGAAGAAGAGGAGAGGATTGTACCCAAGGGCAACAGAAATAATGAGAAGGCCAGAACGAGCCCCTAGTTCACCCAACGGTGTAGAGGTCAAAACCAAGTGCACCGTGAATGGAAGAAGTATAGAAGGCAAAGGTCCCAGGAGAATAAGAAGAGTAGTCGAAGAGCCAGAAAATAATATGCTCAGATAAGGAGGGATGCCCAGTGATAATACGAAAATGACACAGCAGCGAAAGCCAAGTCTGGCCCGAGACTAGTACAGTCACAGCAGGAGGAAAAAAAAAAAGAGTCAAAGACCAGGTAATCAGGCTGAGGAAGGAAGAAGAGGAGATCACAAGAAACTACCGCGAAGTATGTGAGGAGCTCGATATGAGATTTGAAGAAGTATTCACACTGAAGACAGAAAGGACTCCAGAAAGACAGAGCAGAGGAGGGGGTACACCGTCAAGTGCTGAACACAATACATACAATCGAGGAGAAAGTGAAGAGGCTGCTGAAGTGAACCAGACACCTCGAAGTTCATGGGGCCTGATAACATCTCTCCATGGGTCCTGAGAGAGAGAGAGAGCAGAGGCGCTCTGTGTACCAATAACAACTCTCTTAAACACATCTATCGAAACAGGACGACTACCTGAGGTAGGGAAGACAGCAAACGTAGTCTGAATTTTTAAAAAATAGGAGACAGACACGCAGCACTAAACTACAGACCAGTATCACTAACTTGCATAGTATGCAAAGTCATGGAGAAATTTATCAGGAGAAGAGGGGTGCAGCACCTAAAAAGGAATGAGCTAATCAACAACATCCAGCACAGGAAATCCTGTGCCACAAACCTGCTGGAGTTCTATGACAAGGTGACAGCAGTAAGACATGAGAGGGTTGAGTAGACTGCGTTTTCTTGGACTGTAAGAAGGCTTTTGACACAATTCCACATAAGAGATGAGTGCAAAAGCTGGAGGACCAGGCAAGTATAAAAGTGAAGGCACTGCATGGATCAGAGAATACATGACGAGAAGGCATCGGCGAGTCATGGTACATGACGAGGTGTCAGAGTGAGCGCCTGTGACGAGCGGGGTTCTACAGGGGTCAATCCTAAGACCGATGTTGTTTCTGGTATATGTGCGTGACATGACGAAAGAAGTAGAATCAGAAGTGTCCCTATTTACAGACGATGTGAAGTTAATGTGTCCCTATTTCCAGATGATGTGATGTTAATGAGGAGAATCCAATTGGAGGAGGAGCAGGCAGGACTACAAAGAGATCTGGACAGGCTGCAGGCCTGGTCCAGAAACTGACTCCTGGAGTGCAACACCACCAAGTGGAAAATCATGGAGATTGGGGAAGGGCCAAGAGTACAGACTAGGTGGCCAGATACTATAAACCTCACTCCAGGAAAAGGATCTTGGGGTGAGTGTAATACCGAGCACATCACACGCCTGTATTACACAGTGTAATACAGGAGCACATCAGCCAAATAACTGCTGCAGCATATGGGTGCCTAGCAAACCTAAGAATAGAATTCCGACATCTCGGTAAGGAATCGTTCAAGACTGTACATCGTGTACGTCAGGTTCATACTGGAGTATGAAGCTCCAGTCTGGAATCCACAACCGGCCTAGCACGTCAGGAAATTAGAGAAAATGCAAAGGTTTTGCAGCGAGACTAGTCCCGGAGCTAAATGGCATGTCCTACGCAGATTGGTTAAGGGAAATCGACCTGACGACACTGGAGGACAGGAGAGATAAGGGGGACATGATAACGACATTTAAAATACTGAGAGGAATCGACAAGGGACAGAGACAGCTTGCCCTGTACTATATACGTCCTCAATGACTCTAAGCTGAGCCACGACTCTGACAACATAGACAAACTTTCATGACTCTATATTCAGCACAAAAACCTCACAGGTCCCATGATCGAGACTTGTATTTACAGCAAAATTGTGAAACTCGAGTGCTCTTGCAAGTATTGCACAGTCGAGTTTCTTCCATGACATCAGCTTGCTTCCAGCTATAGTGACTAAATGATCAGTAATCCATAGTCTGAGCAGCGTCTCGGCAAGTACTCTGAAAGTGCGGGAAAAGACCATAATCGAAGTCGAGGTACGGGAAAAGAAACTGTCAAATTGCAATGGGTCTATGATGTCAGTTTCCTTAGGGACCTCCTCATCGTTCTCAAGGCCATGACAGACCTAAAAATTCACCTCGATCCAGCAGGCATGAAAGTAGATATTAATTGTATGAACAAAAGCAAAAGGATGGAGCACATCAGAGGCAGTTATGAGGATGCTAGAGAGCTCTTGAATGAGAGATAGTGGGGTACACAGCTAAATGGAAACTAAGCACCTGGTATTTCACTAATATGTCAAAGGGCCACCATTAGGTTAATTCGCATAAAAATCTCCTTGATGTTACTGAATAGGAACTGCGCTCCTCTTCCTCACATCAAACTTCATTGTCTCCTATTTCCCGCTCTCTGTGTGATCCCCATAATTCAGTTCAGAAGATTCAGTAAGAGATATACAAGAGTTCTTAGATGAACAGTGCGAGATGAGAACTATGTACAAGAAAGCATGGAAGAAGTAAGAACCAAGAACAAGAAAGCATTTAAAAAGTTAGAACCAAGTAGAAGACGTGGAAAACTTGATAACAATCCGTTAAAATTGTTACACAGTTATTTAAGCAGAAATGTCAGTAAAGATCTAAATAATTATTATATAATCATTATATAAACAGAGATCTGATCACAATAAATGATTAAGAAACAATGACTGGCTAAAAAAATCGAAGAGGTATTTACTATGAACACGAACACCTGGAAAAGATATAAAAGAAACACCTGACGATATTGAATGAAAAACGGTGAATATATCACCAATTGTCGTAAAAGAGGAGTTCATCATAGACTGACAATAAATTAATCACCTCGTCAATCAAATCCACACTAGGCACCAACCATCTCATGCTTAGTTATTATTTGAAAATTACCTCTTCCGACGGGGCTGTTAACTTACCAGGTGTGCTGGTGGCACATCCTGGGTGAGCTGTGTAGAAGGCTCTACTCTGCTGTTTACACCCACGATATAAGCCGACAAATTTACCCGTGCAATACAGATTTGCGCAAATCCTAACACCTTATGGTGAATGAAGGCTTACCTGTGGTGAAACCTTCTGGAGGTATTCTATGTCACGAAGCCTTCCAGATTCCACCTGAATAACATTAATGATTCACGAATACCTGAACCAGTAGCTCAAGAGTCGTGGACTAATATCTGCTTAATCGTACGTTCTCTACTCTAACACGGCTGACTCACTGACTTTCAATTAGTTATTGCCTTTTTCAGGCCTCCCATCAGGCTTGGCACAAATGCTGTTAAAGTTGTAGTCTTTACCTAAGCTACTTACACTTACATTCTTAGCTAAACTTAACTGTGTAAACTACATCCTTAGACTAGGTTCTAGCTTACGACTAATAAGCCTTACAATTAAGGTTTAAGACAGAGGACTGGCAACGTAGCATTACGCCGCCGGCACTCTCTCTCTCTCTCTCTCTCTCTCTCTCTCTCTCTCTCTCTCTCTCTCTCTCTCTCTCTCTCTCTCTCTCTCTCTCTCTCTCTCTCTCTCTCTCTCTCTCTCTCTCTCTCTCTCTCTCTCTCTCTCTCTCTCTCTCTCTTCTCTCTCTCTCTCTCTCTCTCCTCTCTCTCTCTCTCTCTTCTCTCTCTTCTCTCTCTCTCTCTCTCTCTCTCTCCTTCCCGACAAATGTACGTTACACTACACGATCGGTAACTTGGGTTTTTCCACACCAATATTACAAAACCGGAACAAGTAAGTGGGAGCAAGTATTGCTGAAGATGATTCTAAGAACCTTGACGATAGACCTTGAGCGTATAGGTGCAGAAAGAGCACTAACTGTTAATTTTTCAGTGACAATAAAATGGTAAGTGTTACAAAGTAGTTAAGTGAGTGTTACAGCCAATAGTTAAGGTGATAAAACCAAATGTTTTAAATGATATTTAATATAATAAAAATTTTTTTTGGAATGTTGAAATGACGAAAAGAAAAAAAAAACGAAGGTGGGACACAAATGAGCATTGCTCTGTCCCTGTAGCTACAAAGATGTAATCAAATAAGGAACTGCATACATGCTTTCCTCTAGTTGATGCTGACATTGGTTGTCGGAATGAACAACTGTACAAGATAAGAAAGCTGACAATATATCCAGATACAGTTATCGAGTCGGTTATCAGTGTTATCAGAGTTCTGGGTGGGTAGCCACCCACGTCTCCAGTTGCAGCTGGGATGTGTTACACTCGTCTCCCGTAACCATTACTCTATCTTGTGCTGGAAAATTCTACTGTTGTACTGTGTATTTGTGATGTGTTTTATATTTTAGATGATTTACATTCCCTTTCCATGGATCAGACATGACTGCTTTCCGTTCCCGTGCTTAGCGTTCCCCATGAGTATAATAAAATAACAACAACAGCAACCCTGATGATAATGATGATGATGATGATAATAATAATAATAATAATAATATAATAATAATAATAATAATAATAATAACAACGTGAAATCCGGTGTGAAGTGTAAATACCGTCATTCTGAAATAACTTAGGTTATGTTGTCGTTGAAATTAGTTTAATGAAATAATTATGCATGTTTGAGTCATAATGTTCTTCACTGTTGGCTCAAACGTAAATGAACGGAAGAGAATAAAGAGTGACGTAGAGAGGGGGGGGGCGGTCATACAGAAGGAAGACGGTGATGGGAGAGGGAAAGGGAAACGCACTTTGAAGAAAAACAAAATAGCGAGATGAATAGGTTTAAATTAAACCGTTGGCAAGTGATCTTTTGAATTTATTTGATTATGATATATATTATTATATTTATATGATATGTATTGATATATATATATATATATATATATATATAATTATATATATATATATATTATATATAATATTTTATATATTATATTATATATATATATATAATATATATATATATATATATATATAAATAAAATTAGGGCCGATTCCCACCAAGGCAGGGTGGCCCGAAAAAGAAAAACTTTCACCATCATTCACTCCATCACTGTCTTGTCAGAAGGGTGCTTTACACTACAGTTTTTAAACTGCAACATTAACACCCCTCCTTCAGAGTGCAGGCACTGTACTTCCCATCTCCAGGACTCAAGTCCGGCCTCCCGGTTTCCCTGAATCCCTTCATAAATGTTACTTTGCTCACACTCCAACAGCACGTCAAGTATTAAAAACTATTTGTCTCCATTCACTCCTATCAAACACGCTCAAGCATGCCTGCTGGAAGTCCAAGCCCCTCGCACACAAAACCTCCTTTACCCCCTCCCTCCAACCTTTCCTAGGCCGACCCCTACCCCGCCTTCCTTCCACTACAGATTGATACACTCTTGAAGTCATTCTGTTTCGCTCCATTCTCTCTACATGTCCGAACCACCTCAACAACCCTTCCTCGGCCCTCTGGACAACAGTTTTGGTAATCCCGCACCTACTCCTAACTTCCAAACTACGTATTCTCTGCATTATATTCACACCACACATTGCCCTCAGACATGACATCTCCACTGCCTCGAACCCATGCTACTTTGGCCTGCCTCATGTTGGGCGAAAACACATGACGCCCTTATCCACTGAACCATACGATCCTTAAGAGTAGGGCATCCAGCGGAACTGGATGTGGTACTCCCTACCCAAGAACACACGATGGTGTGGATGACTCTAGGCTAATTTCATTCTAGTCCCTGTTTGGTGTACTACTTCAACTAGCAGTATTTTATATTACTGTTACCACGAATGAGTGGTGTTGGTCAATAACAACACTGCACTAGCCAAGAACTCGAACCCATGCTGCTTTGGCCTACCTCATGGTGGGCGATAACGCATAACGCCTTGGCTAGTGCAGTGTTGTTATTGATCAATACCACTCGTTCATGGTCACAATAATATATATATATATATATATATATATATATATATATATATATATATATATATATATATATATATATATATATATATATATATTATAAATAGGATGGGTTCCACCTCTGGTGTAAATTGTGGGACCCATAGCCTCGGAGAAGTTGATAAAAAGGCTTCAAGGAAGAATATTTGGATTTCTTCCTGAAGCAGTTTGAATATTCCACTTCCCCTACCACCCCATATTTTCATTCTTTTTTACCAATAGGTATATTTTATTACATAATATGGTACAAAAGGTTTAAGAGATACAGTGTTGATATAAAGATGGCATATACAGTACATGAGCTGTGAGATACATATCTAGTACATATTGTTACGTGTTTGTCGCTGATTATAACGTGAAAATCTCATCTAGCTCTTCAGAACTGGGCGCGTGCCCAAAATACAGCACGCATTACCCCTCTGAACAACGGTGCTGAGTCACTGAAACAGATCCCTAGTTACCCTGATGAGCCTTTTGCCTAACTCCTTATGGAACTTAGATGCACACTTTCCCCATGAGCCAACAGAAAGTCCCCCTGCATGAGGAGTTCTCACTGACAGGAGGCGGGCTCTATCCTTCCCTGACCCACTATGAAGCAGTGTTGAGGCTATTTTCTCCACTATCGGGCCTTCCCAGTGCGACTGTTTGTAGTTGTTGGGGGGAGCAGGTCTGGTTTCAGAGTCCATTAGATTATCCTAGATCATGGCTCCTCCATGAACTTTTGGTCCTGGACTCCAATCTTGTCCCTAAGATGTTTAGGGAAAATTGCTGCTACAAACCCTCTGGATGCAACGCATGAGGACAGAAAAGCAGGTAGTGCAATCTGTGATAACCTGCGGACACCAGTGCCTCCTAGTCTGACTGGAAGTGTAGCGTGGTTCCACTGCCCGTCTTCTAGAATAATGTTAAGTACTTTCGTAAAAATCTGCCTCAGGATACTGTCATATTCATGCAGTATAGGGTTATCATATGAAGGTGCACATCTTTGGAAATATGTCAACTTGGGCAGACTCGAGCACTTTGTGAGAAGGTACAAGGCATAGTGGGTGTCAAGATTGACTATTGGTTGTTCCATTCTCCTCAATTCTTCCAATTTCTTCCTGAGGATTGTGTCAATGGCATCGCTTCCCAGAGGTGCTCCAAGCAAGACGCTATTTGTAGGGGCCAATGACTGATGCTCCTGGTAGTTTGGATCTCACTGCATTTATCACTTGTTGACTGCCTGAAATGATTTCACATTTGGATGGATTCAGGATGAGACCCATTTCCTGTCCCCGTGTCATCACTTGTGTAAGATCACCTAAGACGGACTCCTTTGTACCTGCTGTTGTGCCATCATCCAGGAACCAGCTGCTTAGCTCACTGGTCAGTCTGACTGTGATTTCCCTTACTGCTTTACAGAAAAGAAATGGTACAAGAGGATCCCCTTGCTGGACACTCTCTGATGATGTGATTTTATGCTCTCCAAACAGAAGCATTGATTCCTTGCTATATCCAGCTGAAACAAAGGGGAAGAAACCAGGGAAATGGTCTTGTTCCGCTGCTAATATAACATCTCTTTTAGGAGATTAATTGCGTTCTTGAAGTCTAATTTTACCACTATTTTTACCACACATATATGTATGTATATATGCTTGGATACCCTCACTTTTTCTGCAATTTTGCAAGCCCCTGATGATGTGTTGATAGCAACACAAAAGGACAAGACCTATCATTCTACTCCCCCGTGGTGTGTTTTGCATATATATATATATATATATATATATATATATATATATATATATATATATATATATATATATATATTATATATATTATATATATATATATATATATATATATATATATATATATATATATATAAAGTCTAGAAAATATGGATAACTTGCCCATCATTATATGTTTGTTCCCATAGGCTCAGAGACCCTTGGCTCATGGAGAAAGAGTGCATCTAATTTCCTTAAGGAGCTGGGAAAAAGACTCATCAGGGTAACTAGGGATCCCAGGGCAGCTAGTTTTCTGTTCCAGCGGCTCAGTGCGGCTGTTCAAAGGGGGTAATGCATGCTGCATTTTGGGCACACGCCCCAGCTCTGAGGAGCTGGATGAGATTTTCGCCTTATAATCGGTGATACACACGTAACAACATGTACCGTATATGCCACCTTTATATCAACAATGTATCTCTTAAATCTTCTGTACCATATTATGTAATAATATAATATAATATATATATATATATATATATATATATATATATATATATAATATATATATATATAATATATATATATATATATATATATATATATATATATATATATATATATATATATATATATGCAAGGAATTCGCAAGAGCAGGCGAAATATACACAAACACTGATCTCTGGCTGAAGGAAACTCGAACCTACGAACCTTAGAACATACAGGTTTTTCCTTTTCCGTTTTCCGAAAACCTATGCACAGTGGCATGTACATTCACTACTTTTCCTATCATGCTTCCCCTGTCAAGATAAGTGTTCTTATCTCCCTCTTTCTCCGTGCCCTCCGCATCTGTGATCCTCAGTTCCTTCCAGCAGAAATTTCCACTCCTCATAATTCGTTTTCCCGTCTTGGCTACCTTCCCATTTCATAGACTCTGCCCTCTCACGTGCTAAACGTAATTTCTTCTCTCCCAAACTCTCTACTCCTGGGAACTCTTCTGTCCTCTGCCTTCCCTACATTTCCGGTCTTTCTAATCTCAACAATTCTCTCCGTCCCTTAGACATCAAGCTTACTTTCCGCCAATGCAAGGAATTCGCAAGAGCAGGCGAAATTCCTTGCATTGTTAAAATCTCTAGTAAGGCTGATGCATGCAGGGAATGAGATGAAAAGCTGTAAGCCTTCTCCCTGAAAGCTGGCTGCCTTGGATCAAAGTCTAGCGCAAGCTGGACTCCAAGGTATTGGTCCAGTGTGGTGAGTTTGGTATCGCACTGCGTACCTTGTTCCAAGGTTCGTAGGTTCGAGTCTCCTTCAGCCAGAGATCAGTGTTTGTGTATATTTCGCCTGCTCTTGCGAATTCCTTGCGCATATATATACATATATATATATATATATATATATATATATATATATATATATATATATATATATATATATATATATATATATATATAATCTACATTTTTTATAGGTTTGTATTTAATGAAAAAAAAAGTATTTGGGGTTTTATTTGGCTAATACTATATTGAGATTTCCTGACTAATGTGTAACTGATGCAGTCCTCCGAAATTCTAATTCAACTTTCTTTTTAGAACACTTGTGTTTAATATGGATTTAAGTACTGGTTAGAAATAAATGGATTATCCTTTTAGT